ACCACCGCGCCGACGCCCACTACCACGACAGCTTCTCCTGTGACTAGTACAGCGACGCCGAGCACCACCACATCCACCTCTACGGTTTCAGTCACCACCACAAAGGCTCCTTGCACCACCACGAAGGCTCCTTGTACCACCACCAAGACTCCTTGCACCACCACAAAGGCTCCTTGTACCACCACCAAGGCCCCTTGCGCCACCACGAAGGCTCCTTGCACCACCACTAAGGCTCCTTGTACAACGACCGTGAAGCCTTCCACGACTAAATCAATTAGGACACATCCATCGACGACGAAATTTTTGCGTACGGCCAGTTAGTTCTCCATCAGGCACTGGTTCCTAGGTGGTGTGTTAGATGGTGTGTGTGTGAATAATACATTCCATTTTTTCTTTGAAGCTGCATCTGCATAAACTGTAATTCTACTGACAACCATGATTGTTGTGTCTGTCATCACACCGACTACGAATGCCATGCCGATTATTACTCGTGCGCTCAACCACTGCTCTTTCCACAACTACTACGGTTTCATTTCGTACAACGTGTATACTGTATGTACGTCGCTACAGTATCCCGATTACAGTTCTGGTCTGCGGTTTTACTAGCCGTGCTAGTAAAACTGGTGGTTCATAAGAGTCGCGCTCCCAAACTCAGCAAAAAGAACTGGTCAATCTGGACAAGAGATTGCACTACAAGAATTATACTCTCGACTAATCCACATGTAGAACTACGTTTAGTACGCACCGTTGGTTTCTCCTGTGACTACCTCGACTGATCCCAGCACCACCACGCCCTCACACAGTACAGCCAATATGCCTGCCGAACAGAGCATGATATGGTCATTTGAAACAAGCACCGGTAAATTCTACTCTTTGTAGTTGAACAATCAGACCAATTCCAAGTGCCAAAGGAACTAGGGATTAGGTGTACGACCTATTCTAACCACTTCTATCGCTTCAAGTCACCCCCTACTTCACTAGCGGCTCACAGCCCCAAGAATATCATCAACGCAGACCAATCACATATCCTAACAAGGGGTGTCGCTGTATTGGACCCGTGTAGTAGTGGCTCTGGATGCATATCGCACCTCCAGAACGACTACTACATGGGACCAATACTGCCATCAGTTCCTTCGTGCCCAACCTACCTTGGTGGGTCGATAAAGATAACCTTCGACAAGTCCATACCGCCTAATGATCGCCTGAGTGTCGTCGAGGTGTGTGGTTAAAAATGCTAAAATTGAAAAATAGTGTAAAAGCCGAATTAATAATCGGGATCTTTCGACTACGAGCCTGAGGCTCTACCGCTGAGCTACCAGCAAGAATGTATTTGATTAGAAACCAGACATTTAATTGTATATAAATTTGTACGGTCATTTCGCAATTTTCGTGGCATGGACCCAGCGCCGAAATCGGAGGATTGACGAGCTGCATGGACGCACTACCAAACTCAAGCTGCAACCAACGATCAAAACATTTATTTTAATGAGACAATCACCAACACTATAGGTCTTCCATACATTGTGTCATTGGCTTCATCGTTGCGTTCCATACCGGACCTCCAAATCAGTCAAGTAGGTAGTTCGTTTGACTCTACGCATAGGTCGTATGCTTTCTCAGTTGAGACCATTCGTACTACCTTCGGTAAGACTACTTGTTTCAACCACAATACATATCTGCTTGGGTCGTTTGTCGTGTACTAACTTTAAAAGCGAAAACCGAGCAAATGCTACTGTATACGTAGCACTTCGAAGTATTAGTTTAACCATAAGGTCATAATGAGTATCACTGCTTTTCACAGTTAACTTGCCTGCTACCATGAATCGAATACTCATGGCAGTGTTCGTGCATGCAGCGATCAATCTGGACATGCATTGCACGATCTATCATAACAGAGACCCTATCAATATTACTCGACACATGCACGAATTCATCTCGCAGTCGCAATGACGCGCATTGGAGCATTCATTTCTACGAGTTGGAGGGACTTACAGTGCGCGCCATGTACTTAAAGCCACCCAGTTTTTGGCAGTTAAAATCCCGCCAATTAGAGTTCACGATTACCTGTTTGGCTCTCTTGATGCAGCTTGATTGGCGGGATTTTCTGGTATCATGTGGTGTCCTCTGCGGTTCAATCAACCAATTTGCCGCCAAAATTGTACTTTTGCCCCGCGACAAGTACTTAAAGTTACTTCCAAATTTCCGCTCTATTAAACGGCACACACGACGTAACGTTAAAAGCTTCTGTCAACTTCTAAGTAAGACTACTCTGAATGCCATGTAACCACTAACAACCTTTACAGCATGGCAAAAGAAGCTCAACTCACCGACGAAGAGAAAGGGTCCATTGCGGCCTTTCACTTGGTCGGAATGTCCAACCGCGCCATCGCCAAGACCATGGGAAGGTCCAAGGATGTAGTACGCAACTACATCTTGGACCCTCAAGGCTACGGCACTCGTTGCCGTGGAATGCCGCGACGCATTCTTGTCGACCGGGATTGCCGCCTCCTGCTTCGCGAAGCTTGCAAGACTGGATCATCGGCCAGGGTTCTCAAAACAACCCTGAACTTGGAAGGCTCGTTGCGAACATGTCAACGACGACTCCAAGCGTGCGGGCGCTTGAAGTTTGAGAAGCGCAAACATACTCCACGACTTACCCCGAAGCACAAGGAAGCCCGGTTGGAATACGCAATGAGGAACCTCAGTGAGTCGACCAATTGGACTAAAGTCATCTGGTCCGACGAGAAGAAGTTCAATCTCGATGGACCGGATGGCTTTCAGTACTATTGGCACGACTTACGAAAGGAGCCTGACACGTTTTTGACGCGGCAAAAGGGCGGCGCCGGTGTCATGGTTTGGGGGGCTTTTTCCGGCGCGGGGTTGTCGGAGCTGGCCTTCCTAGAGGGCACGCAAAACTCCGACAAGTACGTGGAAACGATCTCAAACTTTATGTTGCCCTTCGGCCATCAACATTACGGCGAAAACATGGTTTTCATGCAAGATGGTGCCTCTATCCATCGGTCGAAGATGTCGTTGGAGTTTTTCAAGGAGCAGCATGTGGAGCTTTTTTCGCATCCTGCTCTGTCGCCCGAC